CTCCGTGCCTCGGGCTGCTGCAGAGGGCTGCGTGCTGGGCTGGGCTCCAGGGCAGGGGGCGGTGCGGGTGAGGGGTGCGGGCTCCCGCAGGGGGCACGGGAAGGGGGCGCGGGTGACCGCTCGGGGTTACAGGGCGGAGGGCCGCTCCAGCTGATCAGCCCCTGGAGCCCGGATCTCTCGCTGCTCTCCCAAGCCAGCGGTTACCTTTAGCTTTCGCTTTGCCCGCAGCCGGCATTATCCTGCTTCCTCCTTCCTCTGCCCCTTCCCATCTCCGCTGGAGCCTCTCTGGCCCTGCCCCTGGCTAATCCCCTTTCCATCCATTGGGCTTCTGCGTCCATCCCTTCTCGGTTCTCACCCTCCTTCCCCGGTTTCTTTCTAGGCGATCCCGAGGGAGGCTATAGCAATGGGTGACCGCGGAAAGCAGGAGATAAACCTTAGGCTTTGCGCTGGCGGGGGCAGGCGCAGAACACCCTCGTTGAGTTTCTAGCAGTGAATAAAAAGTTATTGCGCTCCAGCTGTGCTGAAAGTAACTGGACTAAGCTGCTGTCACTGACTGTGTCTGCTGGGCGCGGAAAGCCTGGAATTGCTCGGGAGCCAGGCAAACTCCCACCTGCCCCGAGTCCTGGGGAAAGGGTTTGCTATCGAGATTGGATCTTCCACCTGAGTCCAGAACCCGCCCCTGGTCCCAGCCTTTCCTCTTCGCCGCGGTGGTGTTAGTGCAGCCACCTCTGGGGTTGGCACCACTTGGAGGCGGATTCGTCTGTTACAAACCCATTCACAGAGACACTGGTGTCCCCAAGGAAGCGCTCAGGAAGGGCGGAGCCCTGAGTTATAGACCCAGCCCTGGTTCGGACACCTTGACAATCTTCCCGATCTTCCAAGCTCTTGAGCTCTGATGGGAGGAGGCAGCCTGTATAAATATTTAAAGGGACAGCAAAGATGCTGCCTGCAGCCAGCCCCTTCGAGGAGATGGTTTAACGCGCTGGAATAGACAGGGATTAATGGAACTTGCCAACTACACCAACATAATAAATGGTTAGCAGCAGAGCAAATTAATAACAGCAATAAAAGTCAAATCTTCCCCTTACCGTTGCTCTGCGCTCGGGGTGTTAAATTGATTATAATCTGGAGGCGTCTACAACGTGTAAAAACGGATGTAAATATTCCCACTCCTCCCCCTCTTCTGGTTTTAGTCGCCTCCCGGCTAAATGAACGAGCTGGTTCAAATGTCTTTAGCCGGTTCCCCGGCCATTCTGCAGGGACTGGAGATTGGGTTTGTTCGCGGGGTGTCATTCTACAGAACAGTGTCTGCTGCAAAATGATTACAACGCGCGCGCACACACACTGGTGTGAGAAAGGCACATCTGGCTGGTGCAAAGGTAGGAAAAGGCAGAAGCTAAAGAGCCTCTGACACGCACCCCTGACGTGAGTGCGAACAGCTCTTGAGTGCATCAGTGCCAGCGAGCGGCTGAACACCCCTTACCTGTTCCAGCGAGTTGATTGAAGTCAAAGTCTCAAACACAAATGTCAGGAGCAGAGGGAAACGTGGGGGGTGGATATTTCAGGCTTCAAAACGCTTCTTGCGGGCTCAGAAGCGCTCTGGGCAATGTGGAGGCTTTGGAGCCTGCTTTTGCTCTGTCCAAGGTACTTTCATGTCTCCCTTTCCTTCTGGACACACACACTGGCGTTGGGAGAACCTCTTCGTTCAGCCTCCCCAGGTCTGCCTGGCTAACTCCTCCCTCCCTCCCTTCCTATTCGTGCAGTCTGAGTGGCCTCCCCTAAAGCAACCCAACCCAACCTCAAACCATCCTCCAGCTAGAGTTCAGCTTTCCTACAGGCTGGACACGAGGAGAGCATCCTCCTCTCCGGGGCCAGCGGCAGGGGTTTTGCGTTGTTTGCTGTCCCTAGCCCAGCAGCAGACTGTGCATTTAAAAGCAACATGGCACTAGCCCCTCTCAGCGACTAGTGCCCGGGAGGGGGTTGTTGTCAGAAGTTACTGGGCCTCGCCTCGTGGCGTGTATTTCAAACGGAGGGCGCCTCTTTCCGAGTGGAAAACTGGTGCAGGGGAGGCAGGGTCCCCCTTCTGCGCTGACTTTGATAAAGCCACATTTTCTTTAGGCCATTCATTGCTTGGATCGCAGATTAACCTGCCACGTGCGGCTGTCTGGGAAGGGAAAAGGGCAGACACGCAACTGGGTACGCAATATACATGTGCACTGACCCCTCCTGATTCCTGATCTGCTTCCTCGGCCCCATTGGGAATCCTTAATACTCTCCAGCCCTTAAAGGAGCACGTTGAAGGATAGCGCCTCTCCTGGGCAACGCTTCCAAGCTTTAATTAAAGTTCTTTTCTTTGGCGTTCATTATATGATTAACGGTTTTGCTCGGGGTAGGGGAGTGGGAGGGAAATAAACAGCTCTGACTCCAAGGAAAAATTCAGTTCCCCATTTTTTCTGCCTTTAATTCAGTTGTAATGCAAGTTCTTCTGCCCCCCACCCCTTAAACAATAGCAGCTAATATGAAAAATCGGGACAGGGGGTGGGGGTTAATAGGAGCCTATATAAGAAAAAGACCCTATAAAATCGGGACATCTGGTCACCCTACGCTTCTCCTTTGACCGAGTCAGGTCTTTATTCCCCGCGTTCGTTAGAATGGAGTCACGTCTTATTTCTAAATTTCTAGCCCGCTAGCCCCGGGGGTGCGGGTTTCATTCTAAGGAGCAATTGGCAGTGCATTTCGAAAGAGCTTATTAAGTACCCTCTGCACCAGTGTTTAAAGTAGTACTAGTCTATTGATGGAGATGGTTAATCAAAGGGTTTTGAATAATAAGAATAGGAGTTCTGTAGAGAAATTATTTGATCCCCTTGGGTCATAGCGGGACAAGTCAGCGGGCGTCTTTTTTTTTTTTTACGAATTATCTGTCCTGAAAAAGGTAAGCCCTCTCTTTTTCGGCTGGTTTAAAATGAAATCAGAATGTGGGTGTTTGATTAGTGTGCAGTCCCTGGGTTTGTAAATATTGCTAAACTGGCTGAACCTCCTTACCCGCACACACACACGCAAATGATCATTTGAATCTAGGCACACTGTAAAGAAGGTAAGTTTTCAGTAACATGAACTAAAAGTCATAAGATTTATTCTATTACCAATAGCACTATGGAAGGATGCCAGAGAAATCTCAGTTATCTGACTCTGAGCGAAAAGATTTATTACATCCTTAAATCTTCTTCTTTTTGGCAATTGCCAAAGTTGAGCTTTATTTTATAAATGTGGGACTCAACTTGGTCCTACGGTCATTATTGATTCTTTGTTACCGAAACCGAAATGCCACTACAAAGCAGCGTTTTCATTATTTGTTCCTCTGAGCAGGGACTCTGAGGCTCCGAAAGCTGCTATCATAACGCCCTATGTCAATCAGAGACCTTGATGACCAAGTGAAATTGATGAATGGTTTGCTATGTTTCTTCTTCATTTTTCTAGGAACCTAGAAGGAACTACATCAGTTAATATACACTCTAATAGTGGATTCTTTATTTTTTAGAAAAGAAGCCGTTTGTTTTGTCTAATAGATGGATGGACATTTAAATAAACGATGTATTATAGCGACCTATAAGCCAGGGGGAAATTTACAGGGGGAAAAAATGTAAACTTAGGTTTCATATTTGCGTTTGGACCAAAGGGTTCTATCATTCGGATACCTTTGAATCAATCACTTGCGCCCTTTTCAGCCCGTGATACTGACATCCTTTGTGAAGCGCTTTGAGATCTATAGAAAGCATTGTATAAGAGCTAGGTATTATTGTGTATTTTATCCTCATAGATTATAATTATGTGATATAGACGGGACTACATTCTGGGCAAAGTACATTTTCCTTACCGTAAATCTACCTGCGGAAAATGCAAAATTCGGAAGCATCTGAGTATTTAAAGTCTTTATTGGAAAAGTGCTGTGTTTAAAAAAACAAACAAAAAAACCCCAATACCTTAATACCAAGACACTGTACGCAGCGATGTTTGATGCCGTGTTTGCAATTCAGTACACATTTTCTGTCGGAATATTTTTACATAGAATTCAAAGATTGACAGAGATTCCACCCCAGGGTTTTATCTTTATTGAATCGGTCTTAAGAAATAAACGAGGTTGATGTTATAGGGAATTTCTTGATATTTGTTAGAGTAATATCCTTGCTCTCAAAAACAATGAAACAAAGACCATGGACCCCTCAAACTTCATTTATTCAGATATTATCCTTGTAGATTTGGACTTACACATGATACAGTATATTGCATTTACCAGGTAGCAGCACAACAGAAAAAATATTACAGCGCTTCAGCTGTTTCCCAAAGAAGAAATAATACGATGTGATTTTTGTTGCTGTTGTTAAATATGAAACCAAGTGAAAGTGTCAGTACATATATACAAGATTTAGTAAATTTAAGTCCCTGAATATACAATCTGAATTTTATTACAAACTTCCCTAATACAGAGATATACAGTATGCCACACAGAGTTTCAACTCGAGAAAACTTTTGCACAAGAGACCTCAGCTAAAAGTTTTTGGAAGGACCACCACAGATTTATGTAAATACATCATTCAATTAGTCTTCTTTGTGATTTTTCCCCTGCCAGTGTCTAAGGAAATACCAACTTACAACAAGTCGAGAAGAAGACGAAAGCCATTACAGCATGACAAAGGTTAAATTGTATATAGTGCACATTGGTACATAAACAGATGGCAATAATGTTTTCACAACCCCCCCGCCCATTTTAACCTTTGTTCTGCCAGCTCCGTGTAGCCTAACTGTATTCATAGTCTGAAGAGTCCTCTTCCGAGGGCCCTGTCAGGTCTCTGTGGTAAGAGTCCACGCTATTTCCTTCCATCCCCCCTGCTGGATGGGGGGTTTTTCCCTTGCCTTTGCGCTCCTGCATTTTGATGGTGTCATAGAGCCCTTTGGGTCCTTCCTCCAGCAGGATGTTCCTCTCGGAGTGAGAGGCTTTCATTTGACAGACGTTTTTGAGGAACAGGAGGACCGGGGCGTAAAGCACGTTGGCAAGCCCCATGCCTAGGTTCAGCTGCACAAAGCCTAGCGAGTGCACGATCTGGCTGGCGACTATGGGCCCCAGGGCATACGCCACGGAGTAGGAGATATCCGCTATGGCATAGACGCTGCCGTAGACGGACACGTGGCGCAAGTCCACGAGGAAGGCAAGCGTGGGCAGCAGGGCCGTGTCCACCAGGGCGATCCCGAAGCAAATGCCACACAGCGGGACGATGAGCTGCCCGAAGTTCCGGCAGGCGGGCACCGTGCACGAGCTGGCCCCGATGATGACCATGCCCAGGGCCCCATAGAACCACTGCAGGTGCGGGTACTTGGCGGCCAGTTTGACGGTGATGTAGACGCCCAGCACGTGAGGGAAGAAGGCGGGGAGCCACGTGACCCCCATCTCCCACTCCGAGGCGCCCATGTTCTTTTTCATCCACGTGGCGATGGTGGGCTCCAGGAAGGCCAGGGGGATGTTGCACGTGGTGAGGGCGCCGGCCACCACGGCGATGTAGGGGTCGATCATGAGCCTGTGGATGGGGGTGCCCACGAGCATGTTCTCCCGAGTCCGGCTGCCGAAGGGCTTGATGACGGTGAGCAGCAGCAGGCCGTCCAGCAGGCAAACGCTGGCCAGCACCAGGAAGGGCACCCGCCTGCCGGCGAACTGGTAGAGGATGCCGCCGAAAGGGGGCGCCACCAAGCTGCCGAAGGAGATGAAGGCCAGGGCGATGCCCAGGGCCCGGCTGCGCTCCGACTCCTCGGTGTACTTATCGGCGATCATAGCGATGCCGGAGGTGTCGGCGAAGGCCGAGCCGAGCCCCTGCAGGCTGCGGGCGGCGAAGAGGGTGGCGTAGTTCTCGGCCAGGGCGAAGATGATGGTGGAGAGGAACATGACGGTGAGGCCGATCAGCAACGGGATGTCGTAGCCCACGCGGTCGATGAAGGTGCCGCTCAGCGGGTTCACCAGCAGCTGCAGGATGGCCTTGGAAGCGAAGAGCACCCCGATCTTGATGTCCTCGTTTTCCGGGGGATACCCGGGCCCCAGCACGGACGTGGCCCAGCTGGCGTTGGCCCCCCTGGCGTTGGCTCCGCTGGCGTTGCTCTCCCGGGCGGGGATCTCGGCCTCCCACATGGCGAGGTAGCTCGGCATGATGGGCACGATCACCATGTAGAGCATGTTATCCAGGAAGAGGGCCACGCACACGATGACCAGGATCAGCCGCCGCTGCCGGTGCACGTCCTGCATGGCCGTGCCCAGCTGCTTGGTCTTCTCGCCCATGGCATCGGACAGCTTCTCCACGGCGGACTTGGCCAGCCCGGCTCCCCCTTCGGTCGCCATCCTCCGATCCGGGGGACACCCCTTCCTGCGCCCGGCAACACAGCCTCTGCCCTCCTCAAACTTCAGCCTCTCCGCTCCGCGGGTGCTTCGCTATCTGTGCATGGGGGGCCGATGGGGGAGAATCACTCTGAGGACAGAGAAAGCTGAAGCTCCGGTCCTTTCCTCCACACACCCCTCCTCCGGCCTTTCCCTCTTGCCTTCTTCTTCCTTGCTGACACGGCTCCTTCCCTTCTCCTTCCAGACACACCTCCTCCAGTCCTGCCCTCCTTCCTCTCGCCCCGGCTCTGCTGTGCCCTGCGCTCTTGCTCGTTTGCTCCTCACATGCCCGGACGCC